GATACGAATGCCACACCCAAGCCAAACACTACTCCCAAGCAAAACAAGAATGGTTATTTGTTTTTCTTTCACATCAAGATGACTATTACTACCTGAAAATTCGATACTCATTGGGTAAAGCCAGTGACTGAAATGGATAGGAAAACCTAGTCCGAAACTCCCTAATAATAATTTTGTATTATTGTATTCTAAATTTAATATTTGCATGTGTCTGCTTTTACGAAATCAAAAACAATTCAATTACGCGTTCAGGTGCTACATGACCAAAGCACCTGCAGCCGACATTGGGCCACGGCCCTCAATGCCATTTGTGTATACTCTTGCATCATCATTCGACAAACCAATTGGTTGGGCAGCTGGCCGTATGGCTCACGTGCTGGGACTTGCTACTGGTAATATTAATTCTGTCACTTTTTCGGCCATTTGTTCAAGAATATGTGAATGATAACAGCGGAACAATTATTTAATTTGCGCCCATTGTTCGCCTACTGCATACCTCATATCGGAACAAAAATGATGGTGCGAGCTGACAGACCATTGGCGCAATTGCGGTGTTTGCCCAGTGCTGGTCAAATTTATATTTATGTCCCACCCCTTATCTGCCGTGCCGTTTCGCTGTCTGAGCGCGATCACGATAAAAAGAACCAATGTCATTCTGGTCATCAGTGGTGACAACTGTTATTCTTCATTCTTCACTTGTCTCATTTATTTTTGTCATAATTACAATTTTTTGGCAACAAATACAAATACAAAACAACTATCAGCAATGTCTTCGGATAACCAAAAACAACAGCAGAAGCCTGGCAAGTACCGTTTCGAGACTTTGGCTCTTCATTCCGGCCAGACCCCTGACTCTTCCAGCAATTCCCGCGCTGTGCCCATCTACCAGACATCAAGCTTTGTCTTCAATAGTGCCGAACATGGCGCCAACCTTTTCGCCCTGAAGGAGCTTGGAAACATCTACTCGCGTATCGGAAACCCCACCACCGACGTATTTGAACAGCGTATTGCCGCTCTCGAGGGCGGTGTAGGCGCCCTTGCTACTTCTTCCGGACAGTCTGCCCAATTCGTTGTTGCTGCTACCCTCTGCGAGGCAGGCTCAAACATTGTGAGTACCAGTTACCTCTACGGCGGCACCTACAACCAATTCAAGGTTGCCTTCCCGCGCCTGGGAATTGATGTCAAGTTTGCCAGTGGCGACGATGCTGCCGAAATTGAGTCTCTTATCGACGATAACACTCGCGCAGTGTTTATCGAAACAATTGGCAATCCCAAGTACAATGTGCCCGATATTCGTGCCATTGCCGACATTGCTCACAAGCATGGCGTGCCATTGGTTGTTGACAACACTTTTGGCATGGGCGGCTATCTTGCTCGCCCAATCGAGCACGGCGCTGACATTGTCACCCATTCGGCGACCAAGTGGATCAACGGCCATGGTACTACTATTGGCGGCGTTGTTGTTGATGCTGGCACATTCCCCTGGAACAATGGCCGCTTCCCTTGCTTTACCGAGCCTTCTCCTGGATATCACGGTCTTAAGTTCTGGGATACATTTGGTCCCGAGGGTCCATTTGGTGCCAATCTTGCCTTCATTTTCCGCGCCCGCGTAGAAATCATGCGTGACTTGGGGCCTTGCGCAACACCCTTTGCCTCCTGGCTGTTTGTACAGGGCCTAGAGACTTTGCCTCTGCGCGGCGAACGCCATAACACAAACGCATTGGCACTGGCCAGGTGGCTGGCACAGCACCCTGCTGTCTCGTGGGTGTCATACCCGGGCCTCGAGGATCACCCGTATCATGAGAATGCCAAAAAGTATCTGCACAACGGCTTTGGCGGTGTGCTGAGCTTTGGTATCAAGGGTGGGGTTGAGGCAGGCAATACGTTTATGGCATCTCTCAAGCTCACATCGCATCTGGCCAATGTGGGCGATGCCAAAACGTTGGCAATTCAGCCTGCTGCAACCACCCATCAGCAGCTCTCTGCCGAAGAGCAAATTGCGTCTGGTGTTACCCCCGACCTTGTCCGCGTATCGGTTGGTCTGGAGAATATCGAAGACATCAAGGACGATTTTGAGGCCGCTCTTTTGGAATCCCAGAAATAGGACGCTTTCCAGCTTACTTTTAGCAGTGCTATATTTTTAACATTGTGACAATGACAACAAGCATAAACACTCAATTCAATACAACCTATTTATTTGTCATATATCATGTGATGTGCCAAGATTTTAGCATCGGCAAATATTTTCACCCGTACAAATAAACTGCATGCAGCATGATGCTGAACAAATAAACAAACGATTACTAGTTGAATATGCAATAAAACGTACAAGTTGGCATGTATAGCAACTCCCTTATTAATTGCAACCCACACAATTGCAGAATTTTTCAGTTTAAATAACCGTATTGGGCACGTAGCATCGAATGAAATATAAACGTGCGGATATTGCTGGCAAAAAATCTGTTCGAGTACCTGAATTGAACGCAGGATCTCAATTGCATTGTAGCCAAATTGGGCGGATGAAGAATGCAAATTGAGCACGACTAACGCTGGTCTAAACACAATCTGTATGTACACAGTTGCGCACCTTCTCCTTTCCTCTACCCCCAACCACCAATCATCACTCCCCGTGCTAACAGGTATGGAACGCAACTGCTAATTTAGGCAGCCTGCCCAATGCGTTTTTGTTTCAAGTTTTTTTATTTCAACAACGCATGACAGCAAGCGAGCTGACATCAAGAAAGCACGGGGAAGGATTCTGCCGGGCGGCGTGGGCGCGGTTGTTGGCGGTGATTGGCCCAGAATTGGCCAAAATTATCCGAATGAGGTGATTATGTTGGTCATTCGGGTGCGGACACAAAATCCACCAATACCGCTGCCAGTATTTTAACATGGAATATGAAAAAGCACAGCAACCAAATATATATAGCACAATGAATTTGATCGGTCGATCGACCGGCTGCTCGATTAATCAAGCGATAGCAGCGCCGCTCGTCTGGCCACTGCGGATAATTAGCGCGTGTGTCCGCACTGCACAACAAGAGCTATATTTCCGGCTGAGCAAAAACGTGCTCGGGACTTTGGCTGCAAATGAGAGGTGTCGAGGTGCTTGGGGTGCCTTACCTCTTTTTGCTTTGGGCGAATTCCTTTTGAAAGGTGAGAAGCGAAGTATCATGGGAAAAAAGTTGGCAATCGATGGCGCCATCTCCAATTCCGTCATTTGTGCAGACTGCAGCGCCATACGTCTGCTGCTGCTACACTCGTCTTCTACTGAGGGTAGTGCAGAGCACATTAGAAAATTCGAAAAGCAATTGGAAGGGTCTAAGCGTATGGAATGCACGCATTTTTAAGTTGTCAGTAGACGCCAGCGGGTAATGTCGGAACAGGCAATTACAGTTCCAAAAATAAAGAAATAGAGAGCAGATGGGTGGGGTGGTGTTATTGAGTAATGTACAAGAGAAATTAAGAGTGTAAGGGATACAAAATTATGCGTATCAGTTGGCTGAGAAGGCGAGGGCAAAATATGTTTTTGTACAGAGTTGTGTTGTTCTGCGCCTAGTGGAGCAGCACGCTAATTGACGGCAGCGATGCGCCCTCCATGCCGTGCATGTTCGGGCTGTTGCACGCGGTCGAGGGGCTGTTCGAGCCGTCGCGCAACATCGACATCGGCATTGTGGACAAGGCCTGCTTTAGCGAGAACTGCTGCTGCTGGTCCTGCTGGCCGTAAAAGCGGTGGCTGTGTTGGTACTGGGCGGAAGGGTAAGAAAAACTGGGCGCGGCGCTGGTCAAGTAGCCGACGCTAAGCAGCGGCGACGACGCCTGGCTGTGACCAAGACTAGGGCCAGGGCTAGCGCTGGCTCTCAGCATGGCATGCGCCAGCATCGGCGAGGCAGTGGCCGACGACGCAATGCTGTTAGCAGAACTATCGTCATCCTCAGCTTCAGCTTCAGCTTCGGTAAGCGCAGCGGCATTGCGGCAGCGACGCGCCTTCGAATACTCGGCGCTGTGCGTGAGCGAGTGTTTGCGCAGGCTGGTCTTGCGCGTGAAGCGCTTGGCGCAGCCGGGGTGGTCGCAACCGTATGGCCGCACGCCGGTGTGAGTGCGACGGTGGCGGGCGAGCGACGACGAGTCGCTGAAGCTGCGGTCGCAGGCCTCGCAGGTGTGCGGGCGCTCGCCCGAGTGGGTGCGGAAGTGCACCTTGAGCGCCGAGCGCTGGATGAAGCGCTTGTCGCAGTCGTCCCACGGGCACTCAAAGGGCTTGACGCCCGTGTGGATGCGGAAGTGGCGCACCAGGTCCGATTTGCGCGCAAATGAGCGGTCGCAGTCGTCCCACGAGCACAAGAAGCTCTTGGCCGACGACGACGACGAGCTGCTGCTGCTAGTGTCATCGTGAGTGTCGTCGTGGGTGTCATTGTGAGCGTGAGCGTGAATGTGACTGTAAACGTTGGTGTCCAGAAGGGCGCCGACGTCCATTGTTGAGGAAATAAGTTTGTAAAAAGTTAAAAAGAGTGTGGGAAAGGTGAGCCAGTGCGAGAGGCGCGTAGCAGAAGAGATTGGCAGGCAGAATAGTTGGAGAATGCAGCTCTTTGGTTTGTTCGAGTAACGCCGGGCGGCAGCAGAAAAAGTGCGGGCGGGTGCCGCTGCTTTTATATGCGGGCTCCGAGCCCTCCACTCGGCTGAGCGCATGAGCGAGCGCTTCCGAAAAATAAAAAATCTCGGGAATTATTGGGCCTAGCAAGCGCATTTAGCATATGCAGTGACACCGCGAGATGGCGGGCATGCCGCCTCTAGTAAAGCACGAGCCAGCGCGCGATGGCCTCGATTGCGCTATCGGGTGCCATCGCAGCGATCCCATTGGGCGGAAATTCGCACGGACGCCAAAGGCGAAAAAGCCTTTCTGCTACTTTTTTTTGCTCCGAGCAGAAAGCAAAAACTAAGGGAGGGCTCATGCGCGCCCCTGTGCTCTTTTTGGTTTGTTGCGGAGCAAGCAGCGAACAAAGGCCGCAAAAGAAAGATGACTCTCTCGCCCTTCCCCCTTTTTTCCTTCTCATTTTGGCATTTACAGAAGCCAGTCGCGAACGTGATTTGCTGTTGCTGCCCCGAGCGCTGCTGCGTCTGCGTCCGCTTGAGATTTTTGTCGATAGCTGATCGCGCCCCGATAACACCCACAATGGAATGGCCCATGGGAGAGGCGCGAACAAGGCCGGCTGGCTGCCTGGCTGCCATGCCTTGTCCCTCCCCAGCCAGAGCAGAAATAGTGGACTGAGCGCGCGCCGGCGACTCTGTGCGTTATCGCGCATCATCTCTGCTCAACATCGATTGCAATAACACTGCTTTTCTCGCGCCATGGATTATGCGACTGCTGCTCGTTCCGAAGTTACCATTGAAATTTCAATCATGATGCGCGCCCTTGTGAAAGCAAATTATTATATGTTCCAAAAATGGCGACAAGGCAAAATTTGGATTTTCACACAATTGCGGCATATTCTATTTGCCAACCGTTATGTACGGCTTGGGAAATGGCGCAAAGGGTATGTCGAATTATGAAACAAAATATGGCACCGATTCTTCATCAGAATATCCAATCTACAAGATACATGTGCCGCATATATAAGCGAAATCCACGTGTCTGTCTGCTTCTGTTGTTATTACTGCCATTTTGACATCGATTTAGACATCCTGCAGCGCATCGATTATTATGGATATTTGAATTACAACGTGCATGTACCTGTTTCTGTTCCTGCGCGCGCCATGGCCGTGGGATTGCGCTATAATTGAACCATATTTGACATTGAGCACGTAATATAGACTGAATATAGCTTTTCGATATTTTGAGGTATAATAAAATGTTTAATGAGAAACAAACGTACCACCCAATATCACCCAATTGGTTGGATGTAGTTTAGTGGCTAGAGCATGAGGTTTGCATAAAACTGGGACGGATGCATGGCCCCACTGAGCAGAGCGTAGACAAGATGTAGGTCCTGGCCAATTTTGTTGAATAGCGCGGCGCAGAGGTAGTTATAGCGCTGCGCACAGTTGGACAGAGTCTGCTTGTCTTCTTTGCGCCAGTTACTAATGCAATCGGGGGAATGGGACAGGCGGAAAGTCTGGTTCTCGATCATCCAAGCAATGTCGGTGTTGCCAGCAAAAATCCAGAATCTGTTAAAGATGGCAATAAGCGCGTACGCAAAATGGTGGCGCATTTGGATCTCAGAAACCGGCGCCCATGGGTCAATGCCACAGCGAATTAATGCGGATGTATGCAATTTGCCCCACTGAGTACCTCCAATGCTCCCCTGCGAGTAGGTAGACGGCTCGGGCGACGAATCGGTACTTGCAGACTGTGAATCAACCGACTGTCGGTACGTATCAAGCGTGTGAATATAATGACACTGCTCTGAGCAGTACTTTGAGCTAGCTTGTGTGTTGTTGTTGCAAGCGTTGGCACAAATGCTGCCTGTGCCTGCCCCGCTGCTAAGCATCTGCTGGAAATGGGTGGGTGACATTTACTCGTGTGGAAAACTTATAAAAAAGCAGCTATGAGGATATATTTGAGCATGTATTGATTGAGTAATGGTGGTCAGTATTGATTTGAAAAGAATATAAATGTTAGAAATGTAGAGTGGCAGCTTAAAACGTATTGTTTGACAAAAAAGATTTTGCCACGAGCTCGCGCGCAGTATTTATATAAAATTTTATATCTATTTTCTCGTTAATATCGTGCACAATTCATTTTGCTTTTCATCCCCTGGCTTCGAAACTTCATTCGCTGAATGCTAGCTCTCATCGGATGAAAATACGACCCAATGTTTCACCTGCTTGCAATTCGGATAAAGCCTGTGCAATCGCCAAGACATTTTTTACATTGCTGCCAATTAATCTCTGAAAAACTCACTTGTCCCATGAATGAACAGAAACTTTTTGGTAATAATCGACCCGAGGAAAAAGCTAAAAAAAAGTCAGAGAAATCTGGCACAGTTAAAAGTAAAAAAAAATACTGAATAACAATTGGGCTTTTCTCCAGCAAGATGAGATTGTTTGTCTCTGTCTGCGATTACGATTGCTTTTCAGCCGGCAGTTTCAATAGACCAAAAATAAATATAGCCGTTGAACGTAAAACCTTTATCTGTGCACCCAGGCCAATGGTAAAAATCAATAGTACATTTAGCCACCACCATCCAATTGGCACTGCTAAAATATCATCAATCTTTATTTTATTTACGGGTTGGTCAGCCAATCAACCACGAGTGGCAGCATGTCTTTGCGCGCGAGAGTGCATGGATGTGTGTTCGCGCATTTGCTCTGAGTTTATTTTAAATGTGCTGATTCGACGCATGCATGATGTTATAATCAATGCATCCGAGAATCATATTTATCTATTGCCTGCCTATTATTTGCCCAGTTGTTCAATAAAATTTTCGGCTAATACAGGTGTGCAAAAGCATAAAATACCCGGGTCAATTTGATTTCCATCACTTTAGCTTTGTCGGAATGCGCGCCACATCGCAGATTTCCAAGTTATTGGTCAGTGACTAAATCTCTGGGATTTCGGCACTTCTCCTCTTCATGCCGTAGATCTGGGGTTTATTAATTATGGCACCACAAAATTAGTGACTAACTGCAAAAGTGTCGCTGAAATGGTGTACTGACACGGCTTTATTGGCTAATCAGCCAATCAGTCAGCCCGCGATTCTGGATTCAATGTGTCAGTCTAATTTTTTGAGTGGTTAGCCTGACAGTTAGCTGAAGTAGTGGGTGGCCGCCCATCCCAGGCCAAGAAACAGTGGTTCAATGTTCCAGTACGGGTTTTCAAGGGGTGAGAGATGCCGCTTAGAGACTTTTTTAATTTGGAAAAATAAATATTAGAAGCCTTGTGAGAAGAGCATCACCCACTACGGAAGTCAGCTGCAAGGTCAATCGAGATTGTCATGCCCTATAAAAATGTGGGTCTAAATTATTATATTCAAGTATCAAAAATTACTTACAGAACTGAGAAAGGGGGCAGCACTGTGTGGGCAGTGCTGTAAGTAATTTTTAAGACTTGAATATATCAATTTAGACCCACATTTTATAGAGCACGACAAGGATATTTTTCCTGATACTCTTGAACAAACAATTGGTAATCAAAAGCTTTATTGGACATTTGCACTGCATTTAAAGACTGGATGGCCAACACCAAGTATTTAATACAACCATCATTTGTATTTTCACTCTCTGTAAAAACACCCCCATTAATATACAGATTAGTAATGCTGGCTGAAATTGGCTCCACACGGTCAATCTCTAAATCAAATTGGCTTTTGTAGAGCACACCATCTATTCTCAATTCGCTCAATTTGGGTAATCTGGCAAATATTTCTACAAGTTTGCTTGAATTTACCTGCTGTTCAATAATTAAACTATATATATTAGTCCATAAGATTATCTGGCGATTGAAGAATTCCATGTTCACATTCAAAGTAACATTTTCACGAGTGATGTTGATTAAGCTTTCAAATAATGTGTTTGTTGAATCGTAGAATACATTTAATTCATCTTTGGAATCTATTATAAGATTAATTGAAGATCTTGTTATAATAAGAGGGGGTGTGAGGAGCACTAGTTATCTAGTGTTAGAAAAGTAGGGGTGATTTTATAAAAGGTTTTATTACTGATGTTTCTAAAATACTACTAGGGCTAACCTCATATATATGTGTCTCGTCGCCTTTGTTGTACACATTATCAATTGTGCGCTCCGTTGATGAGAACTGGATCTTCTGCGAGCAGACCGGTATCTTGGCAAGTCAATGTTGTCGTTTTCGCGTGTGTACACTCACGCGTCTGCATTGAAAAATGGAGAGCATGTCTGGGCATCATTATGATGCCTCCTTAATTTACGCCTACATGATCCAATTAGTGCCCTATCAATCGGCATGCAGGTGGAAACCTGTTTCGCGATTCTCGACCTCAACATCCACTTCCATATCTTCAGTCTGTGCAATAATCTATCAACTTTCCCTCCATTCGAGCTGCCAAATAGTTTCAACAAGCTTGTAGAAGTATTAAAAATCAATGATTGAATATTATCAAATATGACTCAGCTATTTGACAGTTTACTTCCATTACTAATGTGATTGAACATTATTTTGCAATTCTCAGGTATGCGCAAGGTAACTTCTGTTGATCTAAGCTTAACATATTGATTGAGATAGATCTACTTGACTTTTTGTTATTTTATTTCCTCTTTAGTTTCTCTTCTCTTCAATTACATTTATTTATTTATTTCCATAATCCAATCAAATTCATCATTGGACAATCTAGTCTCACTTATATTCTCATTCAATATATTGGCAATGCCTTTATATGTATTGGTTGATGTCAATCAACTTATTAATCAGTCTTGGCTATTCTAACCAAACACACAATTATCAATAAGTTACACAGTGACCAAACAAAGTAGTATGTTCTTCTTTACCTTTTCTAGTGCATAGAACTTATATATTCAATACACTTTTATACATTGTATTTTATTTCTACACGTTCACAGAACGTCTCCGCAGAATTTAACAATATGTATAATCCAGGTGTACAATGTCTAAATTTTGGAATTAATGTTTTTGTAATCCTTGTCACTTGCAAAGTTATCACAAATGAGCTTTCTTAGATCACCTCCTATATCAATACTCTTAATATTTGCCGCGTTTATTTTAGGCAGTGATTTTCTGCTAGCACTATCAATTTTCATATTTAATTTCCTGAGCTCAGATGAAAATGCATCAGCAATGATGACAACTGGGATACAGCTATATAAATATTTTAGTTTGTGGGCACATCCGTTAAAAACAATATTGCCAAAACATCTCACATATTTGTTCTGTAATATTCTGATTTAATATCTAAGTCAATAACATTTGGAATTTTCTCAACAATGTATTGGGCAAACGATGATACAGCTTGCATATAGTCATCGCCATGCATATTGTATTCCAACTAAGCGGTTTCAAAAGGAAAAATTAAAAAGCTTAATATATGCATATTCGAACATTTACTAAATTCAAAGTCTATTATCTTTTGAAGCCCATTGATTGTGGCAGCTTTAATATTCAGGGTTTTCAAATATGGACAAGAAACTGATAGCGTATCGCACCTGGATTGCTGACTGTCAATAAACTTCTGGTGATCCAGAATATCCTCTTCATCACCTACATCTTTATTATAGGTTATACGCAATTATTTAAGATGTTTAGAATCAATTGTTTGGGATCCAGATTTGCTATAAAATGCATCCCAGGTAAATGTTTGATTGGTATTTTTAATATTTAAAATTCTTAGAGACTGCAAATAATTTGGGAAGATTCTATATATTAGTAGAATTGCAACCATCTTTTAAACTAGTTAAATTAGGTAAAAGCTACAATGCTGAGAATGTCACAGGGTGATGAAAATTAATATTGTCTAGTTGATTGAAGTACTGTGACGCAATTAAATACTGCTTGTCCCCAGTAATTGATTTATCGATCAATCATCAGTCAATTCCCTACTCGGATATGCGGTAATATTCATACAAGCAATATAAATACTAGTGAATATTAACAAAAGAGGTTCATTTTTTTTAGCGATTTTTGGTTTATTCAATCAATACATTTTATCATAACATGTACAGATTTGCCAAAGAGCTTTAAAAATTGACCTCATTATTATAATAATGAGAATATAATTGCATGCAAGATATTTTGAGCATTTGCATTTTTATGCAAGAAGCCAGGCTGCTATTTTTATTAATTGTGAATATCGATTTTTCATTGTCTGAAAAATTGTTAATACCTATAAAAAGCTTTGTCACGTTTGGCCAATAATATTTTTCAAAGCAGCCAACATTGGGGCTGTGATATTCAAATCAGTGAGCACTAGGAAATGCAATTTAGACTTATCTGGAATCTCTTCAATAGTCAAGTGAGATTTAGCTTCCCAATTAAAATCAAATTTTAGTGTGCACAAGTTTGGAAGTTCTCAATCTTGAACTGTGGCATTTCTAGCTTGCAGTCCAAATTATATTTAGTGTTTTTATCTGGTCAAAACAGACTTGTTTAGAAAGCAAAGGTAGCAACCAGGGATCAAACTTTTTAATATTGTGCGCATACAATGCATCTAGTCTTCTGTTAATCATGGTTAAATTATCTGTTACATAGACATGCAAGTTCAGCTGGCTAACATTGGGCTTGTATTTTGCAAGATACTCGGCAAAATTAATAGCATCTTGTCCATAATCGCACTGTGGGACATATTCAATAATATCGTCTTCCCCCCTTTTGTATTCTGAATACCAATTATCAATACTGATTCTACTAATGCCAGTCCAGTGGCATGTTCAGAATTAAAATATCAAGTCAGCATCAGAAACTAGAAAGTCAAAGTGTTGTAGATTCCAGATATAAACAACCAAATTCTGGACTAGATGCATGTATCATGTGGCCTTAATCAATTCAATATTCAAATTAAGAAGTCTGTCTTCTGCATTACTGTCTTTGGAGCCCTCGGAAAGTACACCAGCACAATTTGTAGATGGATCCATAATGGCGTTGCAATAGACTAAAGGCAGGACTGCCTCTCTCCACTTGCTACATATGCGCAGCAATTGCAAACTGGCATTCCACCTATGTATTTGGGCCTCATTGGTGTCAATTACCATGCACATAATTCGGTCGAAATCACCAAAAGATGACTAGCTGTGTTGGAATTCCGTTCTTGGTGGAACTCCATCTTGACGGAATTCCGTCTTGCATACTGTAAGATGATTGCAAGACCAGAAGTTTCTAAAGTATCCTTCTCTTTTATTTACCTTTCTTATCTTCACTCGCTGTCTCCTATATAAGAGACAGCTTTTCTCAGTCTCTTCACATTCTTTCTTTAGCTTAGAACTTTATCTTTATCTTTCTTTTAAATATAGCTTGCAAAGCTTCTCTTTTGTGACATCAATTATTGCGATGTCACGTGACAATTGCAATTGGGAATTTGCGATTGTTTGAAATTGTGATTGTTTACGATCGCGATTTCTATTTTCACGGGCGATAGTTTCGAATAGATAAGCGGAGCTCTTTAAGCTCCCTTATAGTGGATTTTTAATAAAATTAGTTAGTACGAATAAGTTTTATTACATCTTTGCTCAGCTTTGCTCGTTTTTCACAGGGCTCTCATGAGACAATTGGGAAACACTGGCTGAGAAAATAGACTGCAACTGCCCCCACAGCAGAAGAAAGCAGGCGAATGGCACAGGAATGCTGGAGAGCAGACTAGAGTGGTGGCCCAGGGTAGCACTGCCTATAAATGTGGACACCTTTTTGGAATGGACCACAGACATAGTCATGTCCATTGTAATGCAAATAGAGTTGGTTATAATATATATTAATAAAATGAGACTACGAAAAGAGCTAAAGAGCTTACTATTCAGATATCGCTGCACACATGAAATATCATAAACATATTTCATGGGTCTATGCTGTCCCATGACCCAGCCCCCTTTCTGGTGTCACAGATGCACTGACCCAGGTTCCCAAAACAGCTGATTGTGAGAAACGAGCAAAGCTTCTCTTTGCTCAGCTTTGCAAGTTATATTTAAAAGAAAGAAAAAGATAAAGTTCTAAGCTAAAGAAAGAAAGTGGAGAGACTGAGGAAAGCTGACTCTTATATAGGAGACAGCGAGTGAAGATAAGAAAGGTAAATAAAAGAGAAGGATACTTTAGAAACTTCTGGTCTTGCAATCATCTTACAGTATGCAAGACGGAGTTCCACCAAGAACGGAATTCCAACACTCCCCCTGACAAGGTGCTCACATCATACCAGAGGATGAGCGATGTCTGACAAAGGCATCTAGGGGCAATTGCTTGGTCAGATAGTCAGCAGCTTGGTCAACAGTCGAAACATACTTGAGATGATATACTTGCTGAGATAGTGCAGCATGAGGAAGTTGCAGAGTAGACTTGTAGTGCTTGTTGGCATCAGTCACAGCACCAGTGCGTGTATTGTTGATAGTGCCCTCATTGTCACAGAAGATAGTGGCAGGGTCAACATGTACATGGATGTCACACAGCAGGTCTTGTAGCCACATGAGCTCACGGACAGCAGAGGTCAGGGCAATGGTCTCAGCTTCAACTGTGGATTGAGGTGGCAAGCCAAGAGCACGTTTCTTTGACTTCCAAGCAACTGCTCCTCCTGCCAGAGTGAATACATAGCCAATTACCATGGCTTCCACAGTATGCAGTCCAAATGAGGCATCACTGTACCCAACCAGGTTGAGGTGTTCAGACTGACAATAGTGAATGGCCATGTTGCAGGTGGTCTTCAGATACTTGAGTGCTCGCTTGGCAGCACCCATGTGTTTCATCAGTGGCTCTTGGTTGAATGACGCAAGCACAGAGGTGACCAGAGCAATGTCAGGCCGAGTGACCATGGCCAGGTACTGCAGGGAGCCAACAATTGAGCAGTATTCAGTGGCATTGCACTTGGCAAGGTATGGGGCAGTCTCTCCAAGCTTGGCAGAAGCAGCAATGGGCAGATCAACATCATTGGCTTCCTCAAGGCCATACTTGCTGACCAGGTTCTGGATAGCAGTAATCTGGTTGATCTTGATGCCATCAGACATGTGATGCACATTGATGCTCAGGATTGTGCTGCATAGACTCAGATCCTTCATTGAGAACTCAGCAGACAGGGCAGTTTTGACCTTGGCCAGGATGTTGTCATCAGATGCAGCCAGCAGCAAGTCGTCAACATAGGTCGTCAAAATGCATGTTGCAGAGCCACTCTTAAGCCAGTAGACACCTGGGTCGGCATTGCTGCACTGGAATCCAAGGCTGCCACAAAGGAAAGTATTCAGGCGACGATTCCAAGTGCGTGGTGCCTGCTTCAAACCATATAGGGAGCGGCGTAGCTTGAGAACACTCTTGGTCCAGTCACCAGTCATGCCATCAGGAATCTCAACATATATGTCTTCTTCCAGGTCACCATGCAGGAAGGCAGTCTTGACGTCCATGGAGTGCAGCAGCCAGCCATGATAGGCTGCAAGTGCTATGACTATATGAATAGACTTGTAGGTCACCACAGGTGCAAATACATCATTGTAATCAATCCCAGGGCGCTGCTCAAAGCCTCTGACTACCAGGCGGCCCTTGTACAATGGTGGCTTGTCATCTGAGCCTTGCTTGACAACAAATACCCAGCGTGTGCTCAGAGGGTGGATTGGGGATGAGCGTGGGACAAGCTCAAACACCTCATTCTCAGCAATAGATGCCAACTCGCTTTTGATTGCAGCCTTCCACAAGGGTGCCTCCTCTGAGCGCATGGCCTGGATGTAGGATGTGGGGCCTGATACAGCCACACCACAGAACAGGGCACCATTGCTCTGTACCAGAGCATCTTGGTCGTCATCATAGCTGTTGCTGTTATAGTCATAGTCGACATCATGGTTGGGCATGCTGGTGCTGTCGGCCTGCACTCTGTCATCCACTCGCCACCAGTATGTTGTAGGCTGGCTGTTTCTGGTGGTGAGAGTGCCTTGCTCATGAGCAGCAATGTCAGTGATTCGTGCTGAGGCTGCTGAGGCTGCTGAGCGACGGCTGAGCATGGGTGTTACTGGGTCAGTAGCTCTGGCAGCAGTAGACGATAGCCTCAAGGGAGATGGGTTGGTTGGCTGGTGTCTGTGGATGTTGACACTGGTGCTGGTAGTATCTTGAGCACTGCGGCTTGACAGAGATGATGGATGCCCAGAAAAGGGCTCTCTGCCTAGTGGCTCAGTGGTTGATGTACTGTTTCTGCTGTTGCTGTTCCTGTTGCTGGTACTTGTGGCTGTGGCTGAAGAATGGCGAACTGGAGTGTGCTGGGGTGTCGAGCTAGGACTGTGCTCCTCATGGGCAGTGACAAATGAGGCATCAGTAAACTCAGACTCACTGTTGCTGTTGTTGCTGCCATGTAGGATAGACTGGATTATTCTGCGGTTTCTCTGGCGCCTCTCCTGAACATGCCTCCACTTGTCCTCCTCTTGCAGCTGTGCTAGATGCAGGTCGTCATCCTCATCAAACAGGTCTGCTATGTGTATGGGGCCATGCTGTGTGGGGATGTCAGACATGTCTGACTCATGGAAGTAGAATGGTACAGAGGGTGCACTTTCATTGTAGAATGGAAATTCTGCATCCACAAACTTGGCTCTTGAGGTGTGTAGAACATGGCCAGTGTCTATGCGATACAGCAGTGCCTTGCCATCCTTGGTTCCCAGGTACACACACTTCTGGGCATGCTCGCCAAACTTAGAACGCAGCTCAGAAGGGTACTCACTCCAGACCAGACAGCCAAATGGATGGATGTTGGCAATGTTGCTGGCACTGTCCAGCTTCTCAAAAGGTGTGCTCATGCCAAGAGCATGCTTGGGCAGACAGTTGAGCACCCAGTTAGCATGCACAATGGCAAAAGCCCATAGACAAAGAGGGACGCCAGACTGCAGCACCATGGCATTGGCCATCTCTACCAGGGTGCGATTGTATCGTTCAGCTACACCATTTTGCTGGTGTAACATCAGAAATGGGGGCTGAGTCACGTGACAACACAGACGTATGAAATATGTTTATGATATTTTACACGTACAGCGAATTCTGGATAGTGAGCTCTTTAGCTCTTCTCGTAGTCTCATTTAGATTTATATTTATTATAATCAGCACAATTCCTCATTATATTTGGTAGCACCTCAAATTCGACAATCTGTGCCTCCTCATCAATGACCGACTGACCGACAGACAAACTGGTTAAAATATATATAAAAAACAGTAACCATGACTGGAATGTCACCATATGAATCGGCAATGAGACTCAGCCTGACACTGGCACCAGACGAGAACAATGCAGAGAAGGTGGCAATTGCTGTTAGACCCTGGGTGAGAGATACTGAGGAACACTTTATCCATGCAAGGCTAGATGAGAGCAAGTGGGTATTCATAGCCTCACACCAGATCCCAACAGACAAGAAAAACGAGTATTGCAGACACTGTACAGAATACAACAAGGACCACTGTGACTGGGGAATGTTCAAGGAGTTCCTGACAACCACATACTCACGTGCAGTGTCATACTATGACACACTGCACAAATACTACCACCTACAACAGCCTGGGACATTAGAGACCTTAGAGGAGTTTGTGGTGCAATTCAAGTACCTCGCGGAAATTCTGGAATTCAAACTCTCAGACAGGCATGTTACCACAACCTTTCTCATAAAGCTACTGCCAATGCTCAACCAACAGATTCTGAGCGAATCAACAAGCCTGACAGTATACGAGATTGATGCACTGACTTCCTGTGCCAGAGCCTTCCTGCACATTCATGGCCGTCATGATAATACAGCTATGAATGTGGATGCAATAATAGTGAATGCAGTGCAGACAGAAAGGAGACGCAGTGGCCTGCTGCCATTTGCAAGTGTCTCCAAGCAGTCGGGCTGCACCAAGGAGATGTTTGAGAAGTGGGCTGCTGACGATGTGTGCCTTGGGTGTGGCAGTGATGAAAACAAGTGGCATTGCTGCCCTAAGAAAGCACACCCAAAAGTGAGAAGGGCATGAGTGGACGTGTCCTCTGCCCTTATCATCTCTGAAATTGCCATTTACCCCCTAAATAAAACTGCTATTAACAGACAAACCTCACCTGAGCCCCAACTACTTTTAAATGCAACTATAGACACCAAAGCCATCCGTGTGCTCATCGACAATGGATCACAAATTACCATCATCAACGAACAGACCTGCAACTGACTTAAACTGAAATCCGAACGACTACAACACAGCCAACCAATACAACTGGCCAATGGCGCACATTACAAGGGCTGCACCAAGTCGTGCACAGTAATGCTGTGCCTCCTGAGCAACCTAATGATTACAGTACATTGCCTTGTTCTTCCAGTTTCTGAAGATATAATATTAGGAAATAATTGGCTAAAGAAACACAAGGCCATGATCCACAGCCACCTTGACAAGGTGACCTTTGACTATGGCGGGAAAAGCTGGTCCATCCGGGGTAATGCAGAGCCTCGGACCGACGAGGACCAGCTGAAGCCTATGTCAATCAGTGCACTGAAAACTGCACGTGCAAACGACCAAATTGAGGAATGGGGATGGCTACGAATTACATTCCCTGACAACGATACCAATCCAGCAATCCATGTGGCAGCAACCACGACGACACAAGACAGTGCGCTACAGGAGCTACATGCCAGATACACCCAAGTCCTTGATCAGCCGCCCTCCAAACGACCACCACCAGGCGGCCCTGAGATGGAAATCCATGTACATGATGGCACAGCACCTGTGGCCAAGGCATCATACCGCCTGTCACATGCAGAGATGGATGAACTAGACCGACAAGTGACTGACTTGCAAAGGGATATACCCGCCTGTCATCTTCTCCATGGGGTGCACCAGTCCTCTTTGTCAAGAAAAGGATGGATCAATGCGCCTGTGTGTTGACTACCATGGCCTGAATGCAGTGACAATAAAAGATGCATTCCCAATG